CATTGTTTCGTTCTGCTGTGCATGGGGTCGCTATGAGTCGGTTCCGACTCGATGGCACCTGACAACAACAACATGCAGATCAAATAAGTACGGTAAAAGAATACAGCCCTAATGTACATCTTTCCTGATTTTATATCATTCACTAATCCCTTGTTCTGTTCAAACGACTACCTCTTGGTCTATGACATCCTCTGTGCCACTAAAGTGCCTTATGTTCTAAACATCCAACCATAAATAGAATGTTCATTTTCTTTACAGGGAAAATAATCATTTATTTCTTTGCTGCTATCTTTTAAACAGTTTTTGAAGAGCCTTCAGAATGCAAAATCCATTAAAGTATTCAACAGACTCTCTTTTAATAGCTAACTCTCTTAAAACTGCATATTACAGGGGCTATTTTCACCTCACCTTTGGTGACTCTGTTGTGTACCATCAAGTAGGTTCTGACTCATAACAACACTGTATAGGGTTTCCAATAGCATCTGGTGGGACTGAACCCCTAACCTTGTGGTTAACAGTCCAGTGCTGTTCAGGTTTCCAAGACTGTAAGTCTTTATGGGAGCAGAAAGCCTCATCTTTCTCCCACTGCTGACCGTTCAGGTTAGCAGCCCAGCTCATAATCCACTGTGCTACCAGGGCTCCTGTGCACAAAAAGGGCTCTCAAATTTGAGAAGAGCTATATCCTCTCCTAAGGAGCTCTGGTAGCGTAGTGGTTACGAAATTGGGCTGCTAACCTCAGGGACAGCAGTTCGAAACTACCAGCTATTTCGCGGGAGAAAGATGAGGCTTTCTGTTCCAGTAAAGATTTACAGCCTCCCCACGGCACATAACAACAACAACAACAATGATCATTTGACTTCCACGGGATCAATCTACCATCCTTTGTTTCGTTAAAGTGTTTGGAATGCATTGTTTCATTGGTATTCCTTTAATCTACTAATTTAAAACCATCTGTGTCAGGTCCTTGCAAAACTATAATGTTATAGCTGCTTTTGGAAGCCTAATTCTAATGTGCCAACAGAAACTACAATACCAGGATAAAAAAGTCCTGTGACTAGTTAGACAATGGGTATCACTCCCTAGAATCTGCCCCCAACAACTTTAATTACCAGCTTTAATACCATTTTATTAAAATGTTGCTAATCTTTAATCATATTTCTATTCTAGGAAGGGTTAACACAGAGCCCCAGCAGTGCTCAAAATATGCTTTGATGATATGGAAGCTGACAGCAATTTCTGAAAGAGGCAGGGGTTTATTAACTTGTACAACATGGGTGAAACTGCTCCCAGCTTGTCCCTTCCGTCTGTGTTTGTGTGCCAATTCTAAATTTT